TCCCACTGTCAGTCCACCTTATGTGCCTAAACCACCATCACCAACACCACCTGTTGTTTCACCACCAGTCATTCCAAAACCACCAGCGCCAACACCACCTGTCGTTTCACCACCAGTCATTCCAAAACCACCTGTTGTTTCACCACCTGTCACTCCAAAACCACCAGCACCAACACCACCTGTTGTTTCACCACCAGTTATTCCAAAACCGCCTGTTGTTTCACCACCTGTCACTCCAAAACCACCAGCACCAACACCACCAGTCGTTTCACCACCTTTTGTACCCAACCCTCCAGTGGTAACACCACCACCTTACGTGCCAAATCCCCCGGTTGTTACACCACCAGTTGTGAAGCCATCTCCACCACCTTCACCATGCCCTCCGCCACCACCGCCGGCAATAGTACCATCACCACCTGCACAGCAAACTTGCCCCATTGATGCACTCAAGTTAGGTGCTTGTGTGGACGTGTTGGGGGGATTGATCCACATTGGAATTGGTGGCAGTGCTAAACAGACATGTTGTCCACTTCTTATGGGACTTGTGGATTTGGATGCAGCCATTTGTCTTTGCACCACTATTAGGCTCAAGCTCTTAAATATAAACATCATCCTTCCTATTGCTCTTCAAGTTCTTGTTGATGATTGTGGCAAGTATCCACCCAAAGATTTCCAGTGTCCTTCATCCTAAGTCAAGGTTGTTATCTTTTTGTTTTTCCCTTCAATTTTGTTACTTCAACATTAAAGTTAGATCATAACATTATGCAATATGATGCAGGATATGTTGCTAAAATTAATAGGAAAGGCTCATTAGCTTGAACGGGACATTTGATTAATTCTGCTGCATTTTCATAGTTGAAGGCGCACTCTGCGAATGCAAGGGGTGTGAGATTGCAATTTCCATTTTATCATGGCGAATAAATTGAAGGAAAAAGAGAGTGACAAATGAACTCCTCCAATGGAGATAAGCTTTTGACGTGTTATTTACCTTTCATTAATGTACGGAATGTTGCATTTTCATTGTTTTGATAGGGAAATACTTTTTAAGGTGCTTTATATATAGTATTTGCTGATTTGAAAATATGAGCATGCATGAGGTAAGAACCCACTTAACTCGTCCTTCAATCAGAGGTACTGGAGCCAAGATTTGAAAATATGAACATGCATGAGTTAAGAACTAAGAACATGCATGAGGATTTTAAAATTTTGAAGTTAGTATCTTCTAAATTAATAATTTATATATATTCAATAAATTTTTTAAGACAAATACATTAGTTCGACCAAGTCGAATCCGTAACTCCTGCTCTCCTTCCGCCATGCCTGTAAGTCCTGCGATATAAGTATAGAACATGACGTCCCTTCGGGAATATTAGATAAAAGTGGAAGGATACAAGAAAAATTAGTATAACAACTATGCACACAAAAAAGTATAGAACATGACCACGACAATGGAACACCTTAATCTCTTGTGTGAACAGATTCTTTGATTTGAAAGAGTACACTGCCCGGATCACAAAATATTCTTTTGGAATGTATGGTTCCCAATACGGAGTCAATTAGTAAAACTTCGAAATTTACGTTGTGTAAGATGAACCTATTTGAGGTGTATAACACTCAATAATGTAAAAATAATAATTACACGTAATTTAATTTTTTGTATATATAAGAGGTTACTATTTATTCTAGGACATGAATTCAATTATTATTATTAAATGGAGTTAACTACGAGGTTATAATTACTTTTTAACCTATTTGATTTTGTAATATCTTACAACATTTGCAATTTTGTATACAACTTATTAAACTCGGCACAATAATTGCTTTTTAATTTGCTTTTATTTTTTGTGAGGGTACCGTCTATAATGGAGAGCTAAATCAAAATTGAAGTACTACGTAGCACTCATCAAAATACTCGATCCTTTCTACACTAGAATTAAAAATTATTGAACGTATATGAAGATACTGGTCACCTTAGGGACAACTTAGATATAGTTCGTTTTTCCTTTAATTTATTAGGACTAAAAATAGGTGTGGTCACCTTCTAGTTAGTTTTTCAAAAACTTTAGTACATGAAGTATCTTGAGATGAGCAGTTTCCCGTATGGCTTGCACGTGTGACTCTTTTGCTTTGTTAATGCATGAATAAGAGACTACTCGTTTTGATGGGGAAAAAAATAATTTAAAAATTATTAGAAGGTATTCATGAACTTCTCCAGAAAAGATAAAAATGAATAGAAACACGAAAATGGAGCAATTGAAATGCATAAATAATTCTATCTACTACTAATGCGGTTATGCCCGGGCAAAGCCCGCGCCCAACGACTATATATTTAAATATACATCTATTTAATGTTTCTCTGCTAATTTTTAGTGGTAATATTATCCTTGTACCATTCAGAAGCTTTTTAAGTATACTTTATTTGACATAAATTATTTATCATATTTATTTAATCATTTATTAGTTCCTTAATGATACAATTTAAATATTTAACTAAACTATATTTGAATTTGTAATTTTAAATTAGAGATTATTTGAGTGATTGTAAATTTTTATTATCAATTTAATTTAAGAAAATTCAGAAGAAAAAGTGAAGATGTTAAAAAAAGTTCAAAAAAATTATATAGTGTATTATGACCAATAACTTTTTGGGTCCGGGTTCTAAACAAACTTTAAATAATTAAAAGTAATAAAATAACTTAAATCTGTTATTTCTCCATTGTTGGTGTCGATTATGTGTATACTCGAGTGTTTTATTACCAAAAATAATAATTATTAAATATTAATTAAAAATAATGATTATTAAAGGATACTTCATGCTCTTTCTTTTCAAATAACGAGTCATTTAAATTCGATCGATTTATGTAATGCCAATTACGCAAGTCGTAAAAGACTCATAAAACCATTTGATCCTAATTTTCTAGTGCTTTTTTCATGAAATTTTTTAATATCTTAGAAAGAGATGATTGGCTTACAAAATGAAATTTATTTTCCCTTCTTATGCTAGCACTAACCCAAGCGAAGATCTTTGTAATTTACGGTATTTACTCTATTCTTCGTATTCTTTTTTATTTTTAACCAGATTTTCTAATTTTTCGTAATTCTTTAGACCATAAACTTTGAAAAAGAAAAATACTTCTCGCTGCATTATCTTTCAAACTTCAATATAAAATGAAATGAGATCTTCACCACTCTCCAGTAGAAATATGAAAGGTATCAAATACGTAGTACTTTAGCACATACACATTTATCAATGACAATAGAAGTTAAAAATGTATCTATAAAAAAAGGAGGATGAACGAATTAAATATTAATGCTCATAATATTATTTCAATAATAGATTTTCTCATTTTAAGAAGTTTGTTTTTCTTTTCAAACAACTGAATGAAACGGAAAGGTAATTATTTTTCTATTTTGCTCATTTATAAAATATAGTTTCTGGCAAAATTGTTGAAGCTATATAGCGTTATAACGTTAATGATTAACTTGACTAATTTATTTTTAATTAATCGGATATTAATTGGCTCATATATCAAGTATATTATATAATGATAGACTAAGTTTAGTTATAATATAATCATAATATTAGATAAACTTAAATGTGAATTCAAATAAGGTGTGGTAACTTTCTTTCAATCTAAACCACATAAAAATATTGAAAAGTTGAAAAATACGTTTTCCTACTTTAAAATCTCATTTTATTAACAAATATTTGCATAGTACAAAATAACAATTCCTTTCCCTCTTAATTGTTTTTGAAGATTTTCTTAAAATGTTTCTTCTTGTTTACAAAATGACATTCCCTTTCCTTTAATTTTTCTGATGATATTGTTAATTTTCCCTGTTTAACGGAATGATGACATTCCCTTTCCTTTTTCTCGAAGATTCTCTACAATATTGTTTATAGTTTGATAATTCAACAACTTAAACACATCTACAATTTTTTTTTCAAAACTAAATTTAACATTGAAGTGTTTCCCAAATTAAACTTTAATTGACCCACTTAAATTATTGTGGCATTCAAGCTAAATAAAAATATTATAAGCTGTAATGTTTGTGATGCTATCCAGTTTAATATTAGCTATCTTAGATGTAGTCATGAATAAAAAAAAAAGTCCAAACTGCAATACCACAATTTATATTTGAAAAATGAACTTTCTTAACCTTTGGAACTATGCAAATTTTTTAAATTGCAAACCAACACAATTTTGCCTGTTAGATTAAAGTCCAAAATGACAATGAATGTATAAAAAATAATAAGTATCAAATAGAAGTTTATTTTGTCGATAGTTTATTTAAATAAATCGGAATCAAAAAGTACAATAGGTAAATTTGTATGGTATATGACAAGATTCCAAAATGAATATGTAGCCTACCTCTCTCTAATCTCTATTCTATCTCCTAACATTATCATGTAAAATGGTTTTTGCTGGCATTTAAAATTTGTCACAGGTTTGCTAAATTTACTAAAATTTTATAAAGATAATTAGAGTTAGTAAAGAGCTAAATAAGAGATAAAATTATACTCCAAGAGTTAGCATTTGAAAAGCTGTCATATTTATCTAAGCAAAGAGATCCACATATTCAAGTGGGGCCCAGATTTTCTTTTTCTATGTTAAAAGAAATGATAGTGTTTTAAGAGCCACCAAAGGGCCAAATATACCCATGTATTTTCGAAAATGATCTAATAATACCTTTCGTTATATTATTGGGCTATATATACCCATCTCGTCATACTTTGGAACAAACATACCCTTATTTTGGATGGAGTGTCATGTGTCAGCACCAGATGAAAACGACCCATTTCTTTTTTTTTTACCCGATCCGTTTTAAAAATCCCACGACCCGACCCGTTTTAAAATTCAGTTTTTTTAAAGCATATATTTTGTAAAAACTGGAATTTTTTTTTGTAAAAATTGAAAAAAAAAAAGAATTTGCAAAATATATATTTTTAAGTCTTTTCTGTTTTTTTAAGTATTTATTTTTGTAAAAACTGAAGAAGAAAAAAATGAAAAATGCTTTAAAAACTGAAAAATATATATTCTGTAAAAACTGGGGGAAAACGAAATTTGCAAAATATATATTTTTAAGTCTTTTCAGTTTTTTTTAAGTATTTTTTTTGTAAAAACTGAAAAAAATATTTTAAAAAAAATTAAAAAAAAAAACTCTCCTAAAGCAGTGGACTACATATGCATTAGTTTTAAAAAATAAAAATATTTTGCAAAATCTTTTTTTTTTCCAGTTTTTACAAAAACAATACTTTAAAAAACTGAAAAAACTGAAAAATATATATTTTACAATTTTTTTTTTTTAATTTTTACAGAATATATATTTTTCACTTTTTAAAGCATTTTTTTTAAAAAAATCAGTTTTTACAAAAAAAAAATACTTTAAAAAAACTGAAAAAGACTTAAAAATATATATTTTGCAAATTCCTTCTCTTTTTTTTTCAGTTATTACAAAAATAAATTTTAGTTTTTACAAAATATATGCTTTAAAAAAACTAAATTTTAAAACGGGTCGGGTGGTGGATTTTTTAAAACGGATCGGGTAAAAAAAAATGGGTCGTTTTCATCAGGTGCTGACACGTGGCACTCCATCCAAAATAAGGGTATATTTGTTCCAAAGTATGACGGGAAGAATATATATATAGAGCCCAATAATATAACGAGGGATATTCTTAGACCATTTTCGAAAGCAAAGGGGTATATTTGGCCCTGGCCGTTTAAGAGCCTACAAATTGAGCGCGTGGAAGAAAAATTCAAAGGGGCCCCAGTTTTCTTGCAAAGTTGTCCACGACTGATTACTATTGACTTGGTTATTTTGTCAAGTCTTGGAATAAAGCTAAATCTCCATGGTTGTTTTGTATATTCACATGATCCGGAAGCTCCTCCCGTTGTGGATTATTAATAGTACTAGTGAGGGTAGACCGGGCTTTGTCCGAGCCCAACGTGAACAAAGTTATACTATTGTAACAAAAGATATAGTGACAATATCTAAGGAACAAGCATGTGTAGAGAAATGGAACTCTACTAAGCTATTACATCTTATAAGAAAGATCAGCTTTTTATGCAAAATAATAAC